TAGCCAGAGCAATTAGAAATGAGAAAGAAACTAAAGCAATAAAGATAGGAAAGGAAGAAGTTAAATCATCATTATTTGCTGATGATATACTACTATACATAGAAGACCCAAAAAACTCTGCCAAAAGACTTCTACACTTAATTGACACTTTTAGCAGAGTAGTGGATACAAGGTCAACACTCAACAATAGCTTTCTTGTACACAAATAACAGACTAATTGAGAGAGAAATTAGGGAAACAATTCCTTTCACAATAGCACCCAAAAACATGAAGTATCTAGGTATCAATCTAATGAAGGAAGTAAAAGATCTCTATACTGAAAACAACAGCACTCTGAATAAAGAGGTCAAAGAGGATATAAGAAAATGGAAAGATATCCCCTGCTCCTGGGTAGGAAGAATCAACATAGTGAACACGGCCATACTACCAAAACTGCTATACAGATTCAATGCAATCCCAATTGAAATTCCAACAGTACATTTCACAGAACTAGAGAAAATAATCCAAAAATTCATTTGGAACCAGAAGAGACTTAGAAGAGCAAAAGAAATTCTAGGCAACAGAGTCATGGCAGGGGGTATCAAAATTCCCAACTTGAAACTATACTAAAAAGCCACCGTGATAAAAACAGCATGTTACTGGCAAAGAAACAGACCCCAGGATCAGTAAAATAGATAGGAAGATACAGAAACAACTCCAGAGGTACTCAGCCACATCATCTTTGACAAAACAGCCAACTAACCTCAGTGGAGGAAAGATAGCCTCTTTAATAAATTGTATTAGAAAAACTGGATTTCAACCTGCCAAAGATTAAAACTAGACCCTTATCCTTCACCACGAAGTAAACTAAAATCCAAGGGGATTAAAGATCCAAATATTAACACAGAAACACTAAACTTGCTGGAAGATAAGTTAGGTAGAACTCTCAAAGACATTGGCATAGGAAAAGACTTTATGAAGAAATCCTCAGTAGCACAGGAACTAGCACAAACAATTAACAACTGGGATCTCATCTTATTAAAAAGCTTCTGTGCTGCAAAAGAAACCACCAAGACAGATAAGAGACAACCTACAATGTGGGAAAAAATGTTTACAGCTGCTCCTCAGACAAAGGACTATTATCTATGATATATAAAGAACTCACAAAAATCAGGCCCCCAAATATAAAGACCCAATTCAAAAATGGGCATCTGAAATTTACAGACATTTCTCAGACAAAGAAATAAAAGCAGCAAATAAATATATGAAAAATAAATGTTCAATACCACTGGCCATTCGAGAGATGCAGATGAAAACAACACTGAGATTCCATCTTACCCCAGTAAAAAAGGCTGCTATCAAGAAATCAACCAATAACAAATGTTGGTGGGATTGTGGAGAGAAAGGAACCCTTCTCCATTGTTGGTAGGAGTGCAGACTGGAGCAACCACTGTGGAAATCAATATGGAGATACCTCAAAGAACTAGGATTAGAGGTTCCATTTGACCCAGCTATCTCTGTGCCGGGTACCTTTCCAAAAGAATTAAAAGAATCATACCACAGTGATATATACACACCCATGTTTAGAGCAGCACAGTTTGTAACAGCTAAAACTTGGAAACAGCCTAATTGTCCATAAATTGGAGAATGGATAAAGAAGATGTATTTGTTTTTTTTTTTCTATAAAATGGAGCACTACTCAGATAAGGCATGAGAAACTAGAGTCATTCATAGGAAAATGGATGCATATTGAGGCCATACTCTTATGTGAAATAAATAAAACACACATGTAAATACCAAATAGTTTCTCTGGTGTGAAAAACTAAAGTGTACATAAGATCCAAATTATATAACTGATAAGGTGAAATAGGAAGAAAGGGACTAAAGGTATAGGGGGAGTGGAAAGGGTAGGGGAAAGGGAATAAGGGAAAAGAAAAAATATGAGAAAAGGAAAAAATGGAAACAAAGTCTTTGTAAACAAGAGAGGGTAGAGGGGGTAAAGGGAGGGCAGGGACAAGGGGAAAAAATGAGAACCAAGATCTGTCATGTAAAGGTACAAGATCTCAATGCTGAATGTAACTGTACTGTATACTTTAAAACTACCAATAAACTCAATGAAAAAAATAAAATTCAAAGATGGCAAGTGGTGATGAAGACTGGCACACATGCTATTTAAATTCAAGATCTCTCTCTCTCTTTTCCATCCCAGATTAGCCTCAAAGGGCTAAGGTTTCTGATGTATTTCTTCCCCCTCTCCCTAATGTATACGTCAAAAGCAACCAGTCACTTTTTCAAAGTGGATTTGGATGACAGTATTTTTCTCTTAAATAAGCAGTATAATTTTACAGATTTCTTGTCCTCTGATGATAACAAAACATCTGTCACAGAAGACTAGAAAGGACAGCAAAATAAAATAACCCATATGCATGCTAAAGACAGCACCTAATCTGCTAATCTGACTCATAAAATTGTGAGGTTTTAGAGAAGGAAATAACTAAATTTCCAGATTAGAATTTCTATACCACACATTTGGGGGAAAATATAACTTTCCTTTTAGGTATAATTCAGTGAGGTCATCAGGCTCATAACTGTGTATCTTTCCTGCAATTCTACCTATCAGCAATGTCTCCAAAGGGACTAATGATAGAGAATGTAGGAACTTACTAGGCACAGTGAAGAAAAGCATTACAGGTGGTTACTATTCCCCCTAAAAGCAGAATTTCTTTGACTTTATTCTAGAAATTCTGACAATGTTTCAAAAATGTAAAGCATATTCACAAGCTATTAATTTTAAGGGACATTAAAAAGATACTGTAGATGTAGAAATTATTGATCCTTCAACCACTCCCTATTTCCTTCACAGTAAAAAGGAAGGGGAGTCTCCAAGGACCTATAATTTCTGCTGTCCCCATCTCCTGATACTGTCTCTGTCATCTTATCTCTTACAGTGGCAGCCTTATTCCCTCCATACAATCTGTCCCTAAACCACTCTGTGAACACCAGGTACTTTCAACCTCATGCCCTTTGCGGTGGATGTTTTCTGGTTCAAAATGCTCTTCTCTAGATAGCCACACATAGCCACACAGCTCAATCCTTCATCTTCCAACCTCTTCTCAAAAGACATTTTTTCAACAGGGATTCTTTCTAGTCCCTCTCAATCTCCATTACCTTGCTATGTGTGGTTGTTTTTTTCTGTAGCATTTAGCAACTTTGAATATACTATATACTTTACTGATGTATTATATTTATTAATTATCATCACCTCCCTGGACTAGAATACCATTTTTCTTTACCAACACATCATAATTCACCCAGAAGAGTGCCTGGCACATACTCAGTAATTATTTATTGAAGAGATGAATAAGAACATTTTTATATTCCAAAGTGTCTATCAATCATTTTGATTATATCAAAGAAAAAGTCTCCATTGGCAACACTCTTCAATACTTTTCTACTTTGTGTTCATCTTGCTGTTCTAAAATATTTTGATTTTTTTTAAGGTATACTTTACCAACCATAAAATCTATTCCTTTGAACTAGAAAATTCAGCAATTTTTTTTTAAAAATTATGAAATTGTGTAACCATTACCAGTAATCTCTCTTAACATGAAGAAAGTAGACTACCAAATCAGAGCCTTCTCCAGGTCAGGGATCTGCTACAAGGTAATCACATTGCTCTAGTTTCACTGGGTATATTTTTCTGGTTACTTTTCCTTTTGGATAGTCATTCTGGATTTCCACTTAAAAGCAGCAATATAAAGTTTCCTTTTTAGAGAAGTTAATTTATGTAAAAAGTGAGGTGGTTTAGTCCAGGTGTGGTGGTGAATGCCTATAATCCTAGCACTCAGGAGTATAACACAGGAAGATTACCACAAGTTCAAGGCCAGTTCAGACTACACAGTGAGTTCAAGGCCAGCCTGGGCTACATAGCAAGACACTATCTCAAACAACACCCCCCCGCAAAAGTGAGGAGTTTTAAAATTAAAAAAAGTTAAACAGTTAACAATATATGGAGCCCACAGCCCAAAGATACAGAAAGCTAGAAAGAGTACTAACAAGAATAGTAAAGTTTGGGAAACACATTAACCCATGTACTCTAGAACTCCTGCTGAACTTTTAGACTACAGAAATATAACAAATTCCCTAAATAAAAGTAAAGTATTGTCATTTGCTCTTTGGGCCTATTCTCAATCCTTGGTGGAAGACTCTTTTTTCTGACTCTTGTTTTTCTGCATGTGTTATGAGTGGCACTGATGGCCCTGTGTTTCAGATACTTATTGCAGGGATGTTTAAATAATAAACAGCCTTGGAAAATAGTTTCTTCCTCCAGAATGGAGAGCAGGTTTGCTTTAAGAACTTAAAATGTTAAAACAGTATCTTTGTCTGGAATGAAGGACAGGTGTGCTTACTACCGTAGACACAGGCTACCTTAGCTCAAGGTCCCTCTCTTATGAGCTAATTCCTTTGGGGTCCAGAAGTTATCTAGCCCATTTTGCATCACCCCATGGAAAAAGAAACTTGGAGAAGGTTGTCTACTGAATGCTGATGTTCCTCAAAATTATGTTGAAATTCTAATCCCCACAATACATTTGGGAGGTGACAGTGAGTTGGGAGGACTTAGTGCAATTATAAAAAAGGACTAAGGGGGATTATTGCTCCCTTGCAATCATGTAAGTTCCAATCACAGTAAGAAGGTTGTCATCTACGAATTAGGAAACACACCCTTACCAGAGACCTAAGCCTGCTTGCACCTTGATCTTGATTTCACATAGAGAATTGTGAGAATGAATTCCTGTTGGCTAGATGCTTCCTGGGCTGCTATATTTTTTTACAGCAGTTCAAATGGACCAAGACAGAAAATTAGCTCAGAGAGCTGAGGCTCTGTGTACTGCCACTATTGTAATAACCTTTCCTTCACTTCTGACTCTGCAGTCTTATATCTTAGACCAGCATAAAACCAGAGCAGATAAACTTACTAATTTGCAAGTCGGTAGAATCTCACAGTTCTTAAAAGTCCTCACCTCGTTGTGAATTTCTTCTCCTTGTTTCAAAACTGCAGGCTCAAAGGATTTCAAAGAGACATCACCATCGTCCACATTATCACAGACATTCTGCACAGCCAACTGGCAGCGCTGTAAAATATAATCCAAGGTTCCCGCAGAGCACTGCCAAGACACAACAGCAATCGAGATTAAGAGCAAAATCCATACTCAACTGTGCCACTCTTCCTACGGCTTTCCACATTCACCTTTGTCCCCACAGCCCATACTCCTTAGCTTGGCAATTACTACAGTAGCCCGCTCACTGGATTCTGTGCTGCTAGCTCAGCCTCACCTGGGCCATTCAGCTTGCTGGTATTCTTTTATCATATGGACCTCCTATGTGAAACAAAAGTAAGCAACGTGAGACCAAGGCCTGGTGCGTGTGTGTGTGTGTGTGTGTGTGAGAGAGAGAGAGAGAGAGAGACAGAGAGAGAGAGACAGTGACAGAGAGAGAGAGAGAGAGAGAGAGAGACTGAGATTATGCAATAAATAACATTAACCAAGAATGAAGGACACTAATTTCATGTCAAGAGCCATGAATCTAACAATGGGGGTGAAATAGAACTGTTTCAAAAACACTCAAAATAGAACAGTAATGGCCAGGGTGGGGGTAGGGGGTTGAAGTTTATAAACACAAGGCAAAAAATGTTTTTCCCTTTACTGCAAAAAAAAAAAAAAAAAAAAAAGCACTAAGTGGTTGTAATTACTGGCAGAATAAATTCTTCAAATAATTAAGAATATGTGGTTCATGCCCTCAAAGCACATTCAAAAGTATAACTTAGTACTTGGGCATCAGGAGGACGAAGATAACTAGTTCATCCCCCTCCAGTCTGTGCAAACAAAACAGAGGTTAAATGGACAAACTCTTTGGAATGATCATATGTCAGAAAAGAAGAGGATACAGATGGAGTATGCATCCATTTGTTTCCATCATTAAATGATTTTCTAGAAAGATAAAGCAATATATATATATATATATGCATATATATATATATATCCCTTAGAAACAATGAGGGAAATGTGTCTCTAAGATATCTTTATTTTCATATTTATAACTTAAACTGAGCCCTTGGAATAACCTTGAAGGCTAATTCTCTGGCATACAAATTCTTTGCATAGTTATGGCCAATTTATACAATGTGACATCTACAAGCTAGGAAAAACCAAGTTTCTGTGCCAAGAAAACCAAAAATATGTAATTGACTAATATGTATTTTGATATAATGACCCCGGGGTATCCAGAGCACAAGGGCAGGCAGCACCAATTTGTTGCAAAGAGAAAACAAAGAATAGAGGTGAATTATCACTCTAGTCCCACAGCCCCTCCTAAAACTTATTTTTAAAATGACATTCTGCCAGGAAAGTTGTCTTGAAACTTTTTCCCAAATACATAAGAGGTTATTAATTGTGTGGCCACTTATTATAGCTAAAGATGGGAAACAAACCTAAATTTCCCATCATTAGGGAACCAGTTAAATGGACTACAGTTTAACCTTATTTGCTGCCAATAAAAGGGAAAGGGGAAAGTGATATTTTTTTCTGGATATACAGTGTTTTATTTGGTGTAAAGAACTTAGAATCAGACCTGGGTTTATTGCTAGTTTTTGTTTCCTTTATTATTTTGCTACAACTTTATTGAAATATTATTCACATATCATAAAATTTAACAATTTAAAGCATACAATTCAATGTGTTTTCATATATTCATAGAGCTGTGCAATTGTAACTATGATTAATTTTACAATAATTTCATTACCCCAAAATGAAACTCAATGTCCTTTACCAATCGCTCTTCCCACTTCCACCAACCTTTCCTACCCTGGGTAACTACTAATCCACTTTCTATGCCCATACATATGTCCATTATGACATTCAGGTAGACAATGTCATACACGACATAACCTTTTATGACTAGCTTCCTAGACTCAGCATGCTTTCATGGTCCATCCATGGTTCAGCACATATCTGCACTGCAGTCCTCTGTATTGTCAAGCATTTGACTGCATGGCTATACCACATTTTACTCATCCATTTAGTAAGTGGTGAATATTTGAATTGTGTCTACTTTTTGGCTAGTATAAGTCAAGCTATTGTGAACAATGTTGTACAAGCTGTAATTTCTCTTGGGCATATACCTAGGCAAAGACTTGATGTGTCATAGGTCAACTTTGTATTTAACCTTCTGAGGATGTGCCCAACAAATTCCCAAAGTGGCGGCGTCGTTATACACTCTTACCAACAGTGCACAGGGCTCCTCTTTATGTATAGCCTCAGCAACACTTATCTTTTTTTTACTCTAACCATCTTAATGGGAGGAAAGTGGAATCTCATCATAGTTTCCATTTGCATTTCTCTATGATGCTGTGCCCTTTTCATGTGCTTCTTGGACATCTGGATACCTTCTTTGGGACATGCCTATGCAGAGCCTTCACTTTTTTTTTGTGCTTGGGAAGCAGGTAGCAGCACCATTGACCTAATTCCCTGGCCGACCATTTTAACCATTTAATTATTTCTCATTTTAATGATTGAATTCTAAGAATTCTTTATTCTAAACATAAGTACCTTACAAAATACATAATTTGCAAATATTTTTTCCCATTCATTACGTTTTCTTTTCACTTCCTTGGTGGTATTCTTCGAAGCGCAAAAGTTTTTAATTTTGATGAAGTCCACTTTTTCAGTTTTTTCTGGTTTGTTTGTGCTTTAGATGTCCTCTCTAAACAGCCTTTTCCAGGTTGGGGATGTACTTCAGCAGTACAGTTCTTGCCTTGTGTACATGAGATCCATGCATAATGCCCTGGGTTCCATCCCTTGTGCCAAAAACCAGGAAAAATGGTAACAACAAAAAGCAATTTTAGCCACTGCCCATGCCAAGAAAATAATTGTGGATGATGAATAATTATCATCAAAGTTTCTGAAACAAAGTGAAAAGTACAGAACAGTGTACAGGGTAACTACCATTGCGTGTAAGTAATATCACTAAAACATAATGAGAATGACAACATATCTGGGAAGTAGGAGTTAGTTGGCTTGAGGAAAAAGAGACTAACTTTAGGGAGCAATTTTGAATTTTAAACCATTTGAGTAGCTATTCAAAAATAATTATGCGGGACACAATGAAAGCAGTTCTACGTGGAAAATTCATAACATCGAATGCCCACACTAGGAAAACAGAGAGGGCTCAAATAAACAACTTAACGATGAAACTTAGACTCCTAGAAAAACAAGAGCAAGAAAAACCCAAAGCTTGAACAAGAGAGGAAATTATAAAGATCCAAGCAGAAATCAATGCAATTGAAACTAAGAAAACGATACAAAAAATAAATGAAACAAAGAGCTGGTTTTTTGAAAGAATAAATAAAATCGACAAACCCTTAGCTAATCTTATCAAAAAAAGGAAAGAAAAGGCTCAGATCCATGCAATTAGGAATGAAAAAGGCGAAGTCACAACAGATCCGA